ACCATAAATTGATGAGTTCAAGCAACACTGGAAACTACAAGAAAGAAGGTAAAAGTGGTCAACATGCCTCACCCGGAGATGACTCTGGTTAATGTCTAGGTGGACGTCCTTATGTAGAGTGTACACATTTCTCCCCATCCCCTCTAAGGACAGTGAAAATCTCTTCCTTTCTTGCTGAAGGTGGGGGTGTGTAAGTCACTGGAGTGGATTTGAAGGCCTGAAAATCTCCATTCCCTCCCCTCCCAGGGCATAAACAAACAGCCCCCCAGCACCTCTCCCGCCACTGGCAGGTTGAAAGCCACCGCTCCAGCTCCGGGGAGCAGGGCCTGGTGCCTGCTAAGCAGGTGCTAATGATTCTCCCATTCCCAAAGAAAGTTCCATTCACTCCCCAAGGTTCCACTCCCCTACCTGCCAGACACCCCAGTTTGTGTGTTGAGTTCACACAAAGCCATGTTGGCCTCTGTCTGCTTTGTGGTTCTGTCTCCACCCCCCACCCCCCCATCAGCAACAATTGACTTTTTCTAAGAGCAGAGCAGGCCCCAACTTGGGCCTGGGTGGCCCCATTTGTCTGAGCCTCTCTGGTGATGTAGATGGTTGGTCCACCCCTGGGACGTCAGGAGCTTCCTGGGAGGACCTTCGCCTGCAGGGAAGAAAGAGCCTGGCCTTGCTTCTCAGGGAGGGGGCATGACCCAGCTGGCAGTGTGGGGGAGGCTCTAGGACCCAATTGGACGCAGGTGTAGACATTTCTGTAAGGACAACAGGCACTTGGAACCCATGCAGCCCTGCTCTGGGGCCTCTTGGAGGCACAGGGCTCTGGCAAATTGGGACAGTACCCACTGGGGAGTGGCAGATGTTGCTGTCATGCCCAGTGAGGGGTGGCAGGGGCGAGTGGTGGAGGGTGTAGCAGTTTCCACGGCAGGGGCAGCTTTGCCCTGCGTGGCACCAGGATGGCCTCCCTTAGTTGTTCCTCAGACCTGTTTCTGAGCATTTGTGAGTCTTCCTGGTGCCCGAAGAAACCCCTGGGGACAGCTTGACATGAAACAAGAGTAGGAAAAGGGCAAGAGCCTGTGACACCGTCAGGGTGATTCTGTGGCTTCCTCAGGGGAGGGTAGGTGGTGCAGAAGCTTGGGTTTTGGAATCAGACAGACTGGAGAGTGTCCCAGTTGAGTCTTATACTGGCTGTGTGACCTTGGGCAAATCACTTAAGGTCTCTGAGCCCCCATTTCCTCATCCACCCTACAGGCACAGTAGTGCCCACGTGGCGGGCTTGGATGAAAGACAGAACTCGATGCCCAGGCCTCCTCGCCTGGCAGCGCTGCTTTGTTCTGTCTGCTTGCCCTGGGGGTGGTGGCCTGGGAAGAGCTGAGTTACAGAAGCTGGGGGACTTCAGGAAGCCACAGTTCTCATCCCAGGGGCTCCTAAGTCTTGACAGCAGTGGCGTCCAAGCTATATTTCACGCCCACCTTCCCATCACAATCTTATTCTTTTTTCTCCTTGAAATGAATCTGACCTAAGTGATCAATACAGAAGGATGCCAGGGTAGGGGCTGTGAGACCCCATCTGGCCCTCTCCATTCCCCACCAGATGCCCCCTAGGGTCTATGAAACAGTTGGAAAACCCCCTGGCCACAAGAGGTGCTGGCAGCAGATAAACGGGGGGGGG